TAGTGTTTACTTTGCACTGTTAACTGTACTTGTTCTTTTATTGTTTGTTTATCAAATTGCAGGTACTCTTTTACCTACAAAGAGATGTCAAACTGTTCTAATTGGGCAAATATTTTGAATAGGATTATCAATTTTTAGAAATCAAAATTAATTTATCCCACCTCAATTTATTTATTATTCAAGGCATATAGTTGTACATATTATTGGAAACAAGTGACAGCTAGAGTCCTAATGTTCCCATAAAGTAAAATATTGAACTCTTCACCCGTCACTTAGTAACAATTTAGTTGAACAAATAAATAGATTAGTGAGTATTGAAAGATAAGCAAGTTTGCTTGCTTTTCTGTGAAATTATTGATACAGATCCCCAGCCTAATATTTCTTTTGGTCAACTTTCCCTGTTAGCTTGCAATGACCCCTTCTGTCCATGGCTCTTTGTATTAGTCAGTTCTCCAGAGAGACAGAACCAACAGGGTATAGAAAAGTAGATACAGGTATATGAGAGTGGATTTATTAGTGAAAATGGCTCACGCAGTTACAGAGGCTGAAAAGTACCACAACAAGCTGGAGAGCCTGGGATGCTGGTTGCAAGGCTCAGTCCAAGTCCAAAACCTCAAAACCAGGGAAGCTGATAATATAATTCTCAGTCTGAGGCCAAAGGTCTGAGAATCCAGGAGCCCACTGGGGTAAGTCCTGGAGTCCCAAGGCCAAAGAATCTGGAGTTCTGATATCCTTGGACAGTAGTAGAGTGTCCCAGCTTCAGAGGAGAGAGAGAGAGAGAGAGAGAGAGAGAGAGAGAGAGAGAAGTCTTTTTCTCTTCGTTTTTTTTTTTTTTTTTTTGTCTTTCTGAGCCCCAGCCAATTAGATGGTGCCTGCTTACATTGAGGGCAGATCTTCTCCATTCAGCCCACTGAATCGCACACCAATTTCCTGTGCAAACACACACACATACACACACACACACACACACACAAGTTCTCTAGGTATTCCTTAATTTAGTCAAGTTGACATCTAAAATTAAACATCACAACCCTGTTTGAGTTGCATTTTGTGTACTCTTAGAAACTTTATTCTTGATGTGGTTTCTAATAATGCCCTACCAGAGCAAGAGAGGTCATCCCAAATCACAAGAAAATGAGAGCTTCGCTTACCAGAAGACCTCAGGCTAAAAGCACAAAGACAACTATAATGTGGGGGATTTAGCAATATTAATCACTCCCCCTCCCTCCCGTGTGGGATCTAATTAGTGAGATCAAGTACAAGGAGCTGAAAAAGGATCCAGATACCGTTCCATCTTTACCGATAGCAATGCTGAAGAAGGACACATGTCAGGGCTCCAACCTCCCTCCCAGAACCTGGACCCAAACTTAACCCAGTAGGAGACTGAAGGAGAAGCTCAGATTGAAACAGCATATATCTGGTATGTCCTCGCCAAGAGCTTGCTTACTTTAGTACCAACAGATCAGTGATGAAGATGCTGGGTACATTTATATCAGTGACCAACTCATCAGTCTCTTTCATCCTTATCTGTCTGATTAGTCTATCTTCCTCACATAAAGTGGACCAAGTGAGAAAGCAAAAATAGGGATAGACAGTGCCCATTGCTCAGCGGCTCCATCCTGGCAAGTGGAATACTATCCTTTTGTAGACACTGCTAGTTGTCCACACAATAGCCATTTCTCCCTTCTCCCTTCTCCTTAAAAAACAAAAAACAAGTAAACTCTATTTTTTTAAGGATGATAATATTCTCAAGTTATTTGCTAAGTTTCCCAGATTCCCTAACAGGTAGGGTGGCTAAGAAGATGTCAGCAGAATAGGCAAACCACCCCTTTGCTTCCCCTCACCCCTGTGCCTTCCTGCTGCTTGAAATGTGGAAAAAATCTTAAGAGCTCTAGTGGCCATCTGGAAACCATGATGCATCCTTGAGAATGAAGTCACTACCTAGACAGAAGAGAAAAAAGGCTGGGAGAGACTGAGTGCCTGATGATTCAGCACTGTCATGTCAGTCTTGGACTGCCCATCTGTGGATGCCTTTTATGTTGAAGAAAAATAAGCCCTTATGTGTTTAAGCCACTGCAGTCAGACTTTTGTCACCAGCAGCTGAAGCAATTAGTAAAGGATGTGTGTCTTTTATGGAAGTGTGAGGGGAGGGAGAGTGCTACGCATCTAGGCTGAGGGTTAGCACTGAGTCAGTCACAGACATCCTCCCACCTGCTCCACAGCACAGAGGAAAGCACCTCCCTTTCCTCCCCAAGATCCACTGGAAGTTCTCTCTGGACTTACTCCTGCTATTTGGTGTCTAGCACTCATCTCTGCCCTCTCCCACCTGTTTAGAAATGTGGGAGAATGTGTAGCTATCAAGCACAATTTACTCCTCCTTATACTCCCAAACTGTGTCACCTCTTCATCATTACATAATTCTATTTGGACATCAAAGTTGATAATACTTTTATGTTTCTAGTTACAACTGATTACAGATTAGTATTGTAGATCAGGGCCAGAGTTGTAGATTTGGAAATCACCATCAAATATGTGGTTGTTGAAGCCACACAAGTCAGAGAGACGTCTCAGGAAGAGCCCAGAAGGGGAACAGACCAAGACTGAAACTAGAGGAATCGCAACTTTAAGGATGCTTCCTAAAAAAAAAACTCAAAATAGTTTTGCTGAAAAGCAAAATGTCATGATGTCACAAGATCATAGAATTGTGGTCTTGTGGCAGAAGGATTCACTTTAGGACATCTGATACTCAGTCTCAAGTCATGTCTCTGTTACTGTAAAGCAGCATCCCCCAAACCTGTTTCTATTTATTGACCACTGAGAACAATTCCTTAACACCAACCAAAATGACAAGGAAAATGACCTATCTTGTTTTGTGAGAGAAGTGAAGGCCTTCTGAATTTATTAAATGTTGTGTTTTCTGTGGGAGCAATGCTTTTATCTTCCCATTACAAGAACCAAGAAAGTCCCTCCGAGTTCTTGTTATTTCAGTTTCTCAGTAGCAAAGGGGCTGCTTTCCAAAAGGTCCAAGTCAGGGTCTCATTAAGTCACACTTACGCTTTCACATCTACTCACCAATGTCAATATAGAGTGCACATAGGGAAAATTATTCTTGGACTTTAATGTATTCTTCATGTAATTTTTCCTTTCCATTCATATCTTGTGCCCTGACTTATTCCTTGTTCCTACTCATTTATACCAGTGCTAATTAATTTTCTCTTTATCTGTATAAAAGTAGATTTACTTTTGTCCTTCCTTCTTCTTGACTTTTTCCCAATATCCCAAGATCCCTATGGACCTAGACAGAGACAGTCCTTTGGAGGGTGGGCTTCAGGGAGGCCCTGAGGACAGGCTGGCAGTGGTTCAGTAGGGTATTCATTCAATCCCAATAAGTGGGTTAATATATTAATATTATACATAAGGTACCTCACACAGAGCACACATAGTGCATGCTCAGTAAATGTTAAGTGTCATCAGCATCATAATTGAGGCACAATCCAAGTATTAGAGCTTTCCTCCTTCTTCAAAGATCACTGTCTAGCAGACTCGGAGAGGATATGGTTTGCCTCACGCCTCCCCAGCAGTTATTCTCACAGTGCAAGTGCTTCTCTGCGCTGCTCTCGGCCCCACCTCAGGACATTTCCTGGCCACAACCGGGAGCACTCGAGTGACCTCTCCTCTCAGTGTGATGCTACCTCCATACCAGCATCAGCACAGAGGTAAATGTGAAGAAAGCTTTACTTCCTTTTGTGTCTTGTTTCTCGCACAAACACACACTGTGCACCTGTCCAATTATATGGAAGAGTTGGAAAAATACAAGCAAAGCAAAAGGTATATATACTGTACTTTATATGGCTCTCCCTGTATCCAAAAGAAAACACCAAATATTCTTCATAGAGGGAAATTCTACCATCTGCTCGGAGAGTGCCCAATCTTCTGACCACAGTGTGAATCTCCACCCTCCCCTCTCCCAGATGCACCAGTCTCGCCCAGCATTCGCCTCCCTCCCTACACTGAGGGTAGGTTTCAAGGGTGTATTTCTTGAAATCTGAGCTATTGAATATAGAACAGCAGAATCTTTCGCTGAGTAGTACAGAGTGGTCTTTGGCACTCAAAATCCAGATCCCTTCCAGACTCTCTGCGAGTGGGAAGTGTAATATGACTCCTCTTTCTGATTCTGTAATGGTTAACTGTAACACACACACACACACACACACACACACACACATTCTCAGAGACAGTACAACCTAAGAGTAAAAGAATTTTCCTAAAAGCCCCATAATATCTTCATTATCTCCAGGGCAGGACAAAGGTAGCATTTCCCATAATCATGCAAATCCATGGAAGTTCTTCTTTGCTCTTTCTTTCAGCCTGAGTCCCTAAGAAATTGGTCCGGTTATAGGATCACCTACCCCCAATTACCATCCCAAGTTCCAGGAGTTTTGAATCTTTGAAATACTAGATTTGGGTTTTGAGGTATCCTTACACATCAGGCCATGAGAAGTTCTTAAGTGAAGCCCTCTCTGTGTGCATACATGTATGTGAAAGGAGACTTACGATCTTCCTGACCAAACAACCTCTAAAAGAGTTGGGGGATTATGTTACCTATGGTCTTTGGTAAGACTGCTCATGTAACTAAAAAGAAAATGTTCCTAGACCCTTATACTGCCACCTTCCCTCTCTCCCAGCCAGAGAGGTTCTTGCTCAGTCAAACCCATTTAGTCTACCAAGGGAATAGAAGGTGTGGAGCCTCATCTTGTCCATCTCTTGTACCTAATATAGAGTCCAGGAAACAACAGGCACATTATAGACACTTAGTCGCATGCAATGAACCAACTTAAGTGGTACAAAATGGTATAATTCTCAAGGAGAGTATACTCAAGATTTCCAAGTTTTAAAAGTGGAGAGAAGACCCTGTTTGAGGGAAAAGGTTAAAAAGTCCTCCACCTATGGATAAAAAGGTACTTGAGTATGATGCTTACCACACATTAACCACAAATGATACAAAGAGACCCATCAGAAGAGCACTCTCTTCAAGGTTTTACCCAGGGCAAGTTTAACATCCTTATTCCTCAAACTGTAGATCAAAGGGTTAAGCATGGGAACCACGTTGGTGTAAAAGACGGAGGCAAATCTACCCTGGTCCATAGAGCCAGGAAAAGAGGTTGTCAAATAGGTGAATGCCCCTGACCCAAAAAACAGGGCAACGGCAATTACATGGGAGCCGCAAGTGCTAAAGGCTTTGGATCTGCCCTCGGCAGAAGGAATACGAAGGATGTTAAAGAGTATCAAAGCATAAGAAATGAAGATGCTGACGCTGGATATTGCAATGACCACTCCAACAACAATGAAGAACACCAGCTCATTGACACGGGTGCTGGTGCAGGAGAGCTGCAAGAGGGGGAGAACTTCACACAGGTAGTGGTCGATGGCGTTGGAATCACAGAAGGTCAGTCTCAGCATGCCTCCAGTGTGGGCCATGGCCCCAGCAAACCCTGTCACATACGAGCCACACATCAGCAGAGAACAGACCCTTGGGGACATGGTGACCGTGTACAGCAGAGGGTTGCAGATAGCTGCATAGCGATCATAGGCCATTGATACCAACACACAGCACTCAGAATTGACAAAGAAACAGAAGAAAAATAACTGAGTCATGCATCCCACATAAGAGATGACATTTTCTGACACAAAATCACTCAGTATTTTGGGGGTAAACACACAGGAATAACAGAGATCTATGAAGGACAAGTTGAAGAGGAAAAAATACATTGGGGTGTGAAGGCTAGAATTCAGCCCAATTAAGGTGACCAAGCCCAAGTTGCCCACCACAGTGAACACAAAGAGCCCTAAGAACAGGAGGAAGAGGGGGAACTGGAGCTCTGATCGTTCTGATAATCCCGCAAGGATAAACTCAGTCACTAAGGAGCTGTTTCTCAGAGTCATTCTCTTCTGGTGAGTCACCTGGGAAACAGGGGACAAAACACAGAGTCATGACAGGTACAACACTACTAATGGAAGAAATTTCTAGAAAATAAGCCAGAGTGTGAATGTCCGCATCCTTTCTTCCCTCATCTATACCCCTGTCCACGCCCCCCACCCCGACCCCCTGTAGGCTATTGACACCGTGTCTGGGACAGTATCGCAGCTGCCCTGGGCTAATCATGAATTCGAGCTAGAGTCTGTTAGCACAGGCAGCAAGTGTTCTGTCCCTGCTTAAGAGATGAGGAAGTGGCATACTGGAATTAGCTACCCAAGAACCTCCAGAAAGACACCTCAGGAGCCAGAGTACAAGCTGGGCCCGCTGCTCAGGCTCTGAGAGACAGAAGCTTCCATTGCCTCATTGTGTCCTCCCACTCTCTGCTTCCCCCTCCTAGCTAGATACCGGGGTCCCCCCTGGAGAGAAAGCTAACAGTGTCCACTACCCCTACCAGCTCTGCACATCCCGCCTGCCTCCTCTCTGCCCCTTGATGCCAACTCACCCCACGATCAGCATTGAGAGCAGAGAAGGGATGGATAGTCCCAGAGCCCTTGGTCATGGGTGTGAAAAAAAACCATCAGAAAAGATGGGATTCAGACCTTCTCCCTGGGCCCCCTCAGTGCAGGGCCTTATGCAGCCTCTTTTCCATTAGCCAGAAAGAGAAAATGTAGCTGCTAGCATGGAAAGCAGACAGCCTTGCATGTTAACTCTTCCGATTCCTTTGGTGCTGGGAATCAGAGTTTTACAGACCTCAGGCTCCAAGGTGCTTAAGGAATAGACCGTGGCTCCTGTTTGTGGGTTTTCCCAGATGGTCTCAAGCAACTTCAGGGGAAAAAACTAGACACTCCCATTTTGACCAGACCCCAGCTAGCCTATCACAGAGAACTTTAAGCTGCTTAACGATCTCAGGGACCTGATTAGACATAGTCTCCCCCGAGAATTTCTCCGAGCTCTGTCTCTGTAGGGAAGAAATTGCACTGCCTGTTTACAGCCTGGATTGTGGTGTTTACCTAGCATCTTGACAGCGGGTGTTCTACTCAAACTCCCCTTACTCCGGGGATTTTACGTCATTCGGTGCTGAGTTTGGGGGCTCATTTTTCCTCTGTCATTAACTCTTAGAGCCTCAGTTGACTTCAAGGGAGAATGGCCCCCAATTTAGCCTCTACTTCCAAAATTTCATAGAAAACTTTGAAAGTAGGACCAAGGGGGGAGAAAAGGTCATATCAGATCTACAGAGAGCACCTCAGTAAAATGTTTCTGGGACCATGAGCTGCTCGGAACAGTGAAGAAGCCACACCACCTCCACCACAAACACCACCTACTCTCCGCTCTAATAAGGGCTACAGACAGGCCTTTACTATATATGAGGAGATTAAAATATCACAACACATATGCGAGGAAACACACACGCACACCCCTGCATGGAGTTACTCTATAGGCGTGCAGGATTAAGGTATAACGGGAAATGTATCTGAGGGTTTAATCCTGACATTCTTCGGATGACAAAGCTCTCTCCATATGATATGCTACATGAATATTTTAAGAAATATTCAAAGATGTGTGAGCATCTGCATTTGTAAGTTTCCACTGAGGCTTCCTAAAGTAATCCCAGTTTTCCTGGGATGGTCCTAACTTACGCTCATTATCCCTGTATAATTATTGTAGTAACAGCACACCCTTCACTCTCAGAAGTGTCTGGACTTGGATAACAAATTCTATGGTCACACTACTAAAAAGAGTAAAAGCAGCTCTTGAGGTTCTCTGGCCCTGCAGTCTCCTAATCCCACTGACTTCTATCCCCTGACAGTCTCTGTCTTTAACTCTCCTTGTTCTCAATTTCTTCCTTAACTGAACCTACCCTTCTGGGAAACCAATATTATCTCTTCAGTGGACCCTGGCTTAAAAACTGGGAAGGGCAGTAACTGTAAGCTGCTTCAGATTTATATCTAGCCAAAAATCCTAAAGCAAAAAAACACAAACTCGAGCTACCTGTCTATAACGGGTGAAAAGGAAAAATAAGAAAGGAATTGTATTGGTACAAGGAATAAACATCAGTATATTGTTGTATATTGTTGTATATGAGCATAATAAGTTGGTTGGCTGTATTTAACAAATTTGGACATATACATAACATTTTGACACAGCATTCTACCACCAGGTGCATACCCAATAAAAATAAGTACATGCGTTTACCTCTTTAGGTAACCGTGCCAAGAATGTTCATAGCAGCATTATACATAGTAGCCCAAAACTGACAGCACACATGCCAACCGACTGTAGAATGAATAACAAATGGTAGGATATTAATAAAATAAAAACTCCATATATCCATGAAAAATAATGACACAGATGTCACATGCATATTAATGGAGCAAAAGGAGCCAAGCACAAAAGAGTACATACTTTATGAATTCATTTAAATAAATTTTCAAAACAAGAAAACTAATCTATGGTGTTAGAAGTCAGATAGCGGTTTCTCTTGGCTAGGAAGAAAAGGCTGGTACCTGGAAAGAAATCTGAAGGGCATTTCAGGGTTGCTGGCAATGTCTGGTTCCAACAGGGGTGCTGGTTATACAGATGTGTTCATTCTGCAAAAATTCACTGAGTTATATCCTTACGTTACATTTAAATAAAAAGTTTATTTAAAACATAAGTGGAGAAAAAAATATATATCATCCTACTAAATTAGTTTAAGACTAAAATTACTAAACAGCTTTGAGCCATAATTCCTTCATTTGTAAAATGGGTATTTACTGACCTGACAGCTCAATATAGTAGAACATGCAAGAAAAATAGCACCATTTTTACTTCTTTTCCATCTTGTGTCCCTTAAAATAAAAACCTGTTATATTTTTCTTATATAAAGAGAGGAAATCAAGAGGAAAGAATTAATGCATATGGAGCAACTACAGAGTGCCTGGCATTATGCTGGATGTTTCCTACTGTAATATGATGTTTCTAACAACTATACAATATATATGTGTGTGGCAGATTGTATTTTCCAAAGATGGCCTTTCCAACACATACACATACACACATGCTCACACATATATATATCTTGCATTCCACATGCTCTTGGTATAATAGGACTGACACTCCTCCAATCAAGAGATGGGGTCTATATTCCCTCTTAGATAGGGACTTGGGACTTCTTGGATACACTATGGTGGAATTGATGCTACATGACTTCCAAGGTTAGGTCATAAAAGGATACAGCTTTCTCCTGGTACCCATTCTCCTTTCTTTCTCTCTCTCTTTTTATCTCTCTCTCCCCTCCCAACCCCCATTTATTTCTCTTTTGTCATCCCCTAGCCTTCAGGACAGTCATGTTAAAACCCTCTGGCTTTGTCTCAAGATACAGTCACTTAACGTTATCTATAGGTTCTTGGAAAGTGCCACTTTAAGTGCAATGATACCCAGAACGCTGTACTATCTTAACTCTTCTTTATATCAATTAGCCTGTGGTAAAACTGGTCTCGTTATACAGTACATCATTTTGCTCAAAGTGACAGTTTCCAAGAACCTATGGGTGACATTAAATGAGGACTTACTGTATACTACAAGGCAGCAAGTTTTTGGTCATTTGTCCAGTGTTGATGGGAACAGAAGCCCTTTAGGGCCTGCACACTAGTGGGTGAGCATCAGGAAAAGTACTCCAGGGAAATGGCCAGAAGAATCTGCAGTACAGATCCGGATTACTCAATCCAATTCTCCCTCACTACCCAGGAAGTCTCTTTCCAGTTCCATATTTGGACAATGTTTTCGAGATTTTGCTTTTACGAAGAAAATAGGCATTTCTTTTTAGTTCACATAATTTTTTACCACCTGCATTTTCCCTTTCTGAATTACATTTTGGCAGATGTGTAGCAATGATCCAGAGAGAAAGAATTTTCTGTTCATTAGGGTAGAAGTCAATTTATTCATCATCCAATAAATATTTACTAAGGGCAGTTGTTTCTAGCAATATTTCAAACTTCTTATTCAGAAAGATTTCTCCTGAGAAAACAAAACAAAGAATTCTGGATGAAATATAAAAAGCATCTATTTATTCATGTTTGAGCTGGCAGAAACTAAGTGAAAATCTGTGAGAGCAAAAGAGAAAATATAAGAAAGTCAGGATTTGCAGGGACATGAGCACTGGACCTGGAGTTTACCTCCAAGGACTCTTGGATTCCTGGGGGCCCAGAGTTGGGGTTTAATTAGTTACTTATGCAGGAGGTGAGAGGTAAACCTGAACTTGAAGCAGGTTGGGATTTTGGAACCATAATCGACTCATATTACTGACTCCCCCAAGGGAAACATCATCAGTGGTTAAGCAAGAGGAAGAAAAAAAGCCCACGGAGGGAGGAGGCCAAGAAATGTATCTGACTTGGCCTTGTCTCTAGACCGGCAGAAAAAGATGCAAAATGTTTCCTGAGAATTTCTAACCACTTGTGTGTGTCAGGTAAAAAATTCACATTACATATATAACAAGAAAAAGTCCTGTCTGGAGAATATAATTTAAATCCAGATATCAAAGAATTTCTCCAAATATCCAAGGATCATGTGCTCATGATGAAAATCACTAAATGAATACAAAATAAGCCACCATGAACACGAACCACTATGAATGGTAAAACACAAACTACGTACCTAACCAGACCTACAGAATCACTAGGCTTGTCGGTGATAGAATGCAAAATAAATGTATTTAATATGTTTAAAGAAATAAAAGAGCAAATTGAAAGTATAATGAAGGGACCATCAAAATTAAAGAAATGCACCACTGAAATTTTAAAGAATCAAATAGAACTTTTAGAAATAAAAATATGATAATTGAAATTAGGATCTCTCTGAATCTGTTAACCTATTAGACACAAATGAAGAGAAAGTAAATAAATCGGAAGATAGAGCTGGAGAAATCGTCCAGAAGCCAGCATCAGTGTGAGAGAGACTATGAATTAGAAATATAATTTTAAAAATGTAAAAAATGTA